AGTGACGACAGAGTGTAGGTGAGTCATGGAAGTGGAATGTCATGGAAGCACTCAAGCCTACCTCAGATTAACATCGCAAACAGCCGGCCAGTGAGTAGCGGGCTGGAGCGACTGAGACGCCCGGCATCACAAGGGCTCGTCTCGCCCTCCTCCTCACCTGGTTCAGCATCCAGTCGAGCACGACGGAGAGTCGGATGCCGGACGATGGTAGCCAGCCGTTCACGTTATCCACGAACACAGCGCCGAGCCGGTCGAAACTGACAACACAGCCGGCTCGTCAGCGACACCGGCAGCACTGGCGCTGCCGTCGGCTGGTCATGCCGGCAACGCTGTGAACGTGAGTCGAAGGTCCAAATCGCAAAACCTGAAACTTGCATCCACCAATCAATCACGCGTGTCAAGGGAGAACGATAAGAGTCATATGAGGGAGCTTGATCATTACCATGCTTCAAAGCAGCTAGCACGTGACAATCACGAGACTGGGGATCTTTTGGTGCCACCTTTCATCAGTTGTGACGTTCAAACGGACATGTCACCGCCATCACCCTCATCTCCCTCTCACTAAACGGGAAGAGCACCCCGTGCCTTCTTATGCAGCCCCACTCTGTCCTGATCAGACAGCTGGTCTCCGGTCTCCGGTCCCCGGTCTCCGGTCCCCGGTCTCCAGTCTCCAGTCTCCGGTCTCCGGTCTCCGGTCTCCTGTGCCCAAACCCCGAAGCACACCAGTTGCGATCAGGACGTCGCCACCTGTCTAGCTACCGACCCCGTGAGGAGGGGCGAGGGGGGCCTACCTGGCCGGCTGACAGGTCATACTCCAGAGCGTCTCGGCGATGTTATTGTAGATCATGCTCTGGTAGGCGTCGAACGCAGCCGGGATATCCTGTTGGACAAAAGGTGGTAGGTGAAGATGGTCGGTCTGATCATGACTGCATCATCCGACATCATGCACTGCAGCTGGAATCGCGCATAGTCTAGTTAATGCGTCCATATCATGAATACACATAATGTTACATTGGTTAAATACGGCGCAAGACAGTCTTTTCTACATCAATGGACATATGGACATACGAAAGAGCTGGTTCTTGATGAGGTGATGAGATGAGATGAGATGAGAGAAAAGAGGATGAGCGGCAAAAGAAACCACAGTGCGTCTATTACTGATACCGTATCCGCGAACGAACTAAATGAAATACAGAAAAGCTGGGACGAAATAAGATGCGATAATAATTTTTAAAAAATCAAAGCTGTTTCAAAAACTGCGCTTGACATTAACAAGTATTTCAGCATTTGACAGCAACACAGAACACCACCAGAACACTAACAACAGCACGCGATGCACGACCTAAAAGACGTTTGGACTGCATGCGAGCGCCACAAGATCAATATGTGCCAGGCCCGCGATTCGTCTACGACCCACGACCAAACGCCGGGCCCTTTTTCGGACGTCCCGTTCCGCCACCGCGCGCGAGCCCACCTTGATGAGGGCCTGGTTGACGGGTGTTTGGTCGGCGTCCAGCTCGGCCCACTCGTCGCCGCCCAGCCCCGGCTCCGGCTGCAGCTCCGGCGGCGGCGGCTGGAGCGATGCGGAGACGGGCCGGGCCGGCGCCGACCGCGGCACGAACGGCGGACTGAGCGGGTCGAGCGCGGCCGGCGCGACGCCGACGAGCCCGGCACTGACACGTTGTGCCCACGCGACCGGTCACCGCCGCCTGTCGGGTGGCGCGCCGAGGCATCAGCACACGGCGCCCGTGCGTCCGGGCCACACGGCCGTCTGAGTCAGGAATTAGCTATGCAATCGGTTTTGTGGAGGAAGGTCAGGTGCAGATCACATAGTAGAAATGACGACACCAAACGGAAATGAACAAGCAGAAAATCGTGGATTTGTATCATCTAACCATCACTCATCAATACTTATATAACGCTAACAATATACACTCATACAATACTAACCACCCTGCCACACAACCAATGCATCAGGCACAAATGAGGCGGTAGTGGTTTTAAGTTTTGGGGCGTGTTGACTGCCAATAATCATGCAGCGTCCAAGGCACAAACTGCGGTCGAGTCTGATGAGCTGAGGTGGTGCCGCCCCATCCGCCTCACCAGTGCGCTGCTGCGGCTCAAAGCCCCCGGCCTGAGGTCCAGAGAGCTGTCGCTGAAGGGCGGCTGGGACCGCCGCTGCTGCTGGGGGTGCCGGCTCTCCGGCCGCCACGCTGGAGCGCTCCCGCGGCCGCCGCAGCGGCGCCGGCGGCCCGTTCTCCAGCAGCTTGCCGCGGCCGCGCCCCCGCCCCAGGCCGCCGCCCACGCCCAGCATGGCTGTCGCAGTCTGCGGCACATAGGACAAACAGAAGTGAACAGCAATCTGTGGCTTGCATGGAAACAATGGTTTGCACAGAGGATGGGTGGACATTGGACTGGAGTCCCTTCCACATCATCATTTCCTCACATGACAGAAATGTGGGCAGTCTCCCAACCCTTGTAAGTGCTGGTGGTCCTGCAAAAATCAGTGGTCACTGTGGTATAGTTCTAAAATTTGCATTTCCTAGATATTTTGATTTGAGATATATTAGGTCTTATTATAAAAGCAGAATGTGATGCTGACATCATTTTTACATTTCAATCAAGATCACTCACTGTTATAAAGGCTGAAACACATGGTTGAACAATAGTGAATTATGCTTGATAGTCATTTGTGTCACCAGTATTTTGGTATAAATATTAGCTATTCATGCAGGGGCACTGCAGACTCTGTCACAGCAGGAGATTAAACTTTTGGTAATGTGCTTCCAATACACAGATAGGAACAACTTTACATGCACAGAGAGATGGAAGGCTCAATCTGCCCTCTAGTTTCCAGACCTAAGTATTCATGTTTCTTGACAACCTAATTTAGAGTTCATAGGTGGGGTCAATATTGGGCCTGATCTGATATATATATATATATATATATATATATATATATTATATATATATATATATATATATGTATATATATATATATATATATACAACAAAACCAAACACAGGCACGACATGCATGCCATTCATCCCATGCTAAAAGAAAATATGATGACCATTGTCTTCTTTAAGCACTCATGCAATTAGCTTAGCACTGGCACATCACTTTCATATTATACCAGTTCCTCAACGATTTATCAGATACAACCCAAGGCCCTAGATCTACAGTGCAACGAAGCTTCAATGTCGGGATGGGAAACAACACCCACCACAAAACAGGTTAACCCACACGGCTGGCCAATGCCCCAGAACCGGGCGGTTACCAATCACAACACCCAAGGCAGCAAGACAGGCTCCAAGCCACACAAGATTTGGAAGCTGCAAGCGGCGCAACCAAGAGAATGTGAAGGAAATGGTTTGACATTATTTATAGGTAAGGGAGAGTGGTCTGTGTTTGCGTTACATACATGCCTTTTGATAAAATATAACTTAATTTACGATCCAAAATAATTTTATATAACTGATAAAGCAAACAAACTAGCCTCAGAACATCTAAACTATCTCCAGAGTGGGAGCACAATGTAAAACATTTACCAGCCACATCAGCTTTTTACCTAAAACCAAAAAGTATCTTAATGACATTAAATGGCGCGTCTGCGACCTACTACAGCTTTCGATGAATGTGCTCAAAGTCGTAAGGCCCTACATAAAACTGAATCAGAAGTCAGGATCAGATACACTTGTGTTGGCGTCTTGAGGCAAGGTATCATCGGGACAACTTCCACTGAATGGAATAAAGTTTGGAGCGTGCACGGATGTTGAAGCCCACTTCCCACAGGCTTTCTACGGTGCCTTGAAAGCTGGTCAGCCTTTTAAAATGGTCTCAATGGTGCAACCTAGGTGGCAGAAAAGGGACTGGAGGCTTCTAAGCTGTTATTAAAGCTAGTATTTGAGCCGTGATTTTTCATCCTCATCACCTCATGGGGGGGGGGGGGGGTTCTGTGGTGAGAACGTTCATACATTATGATCCTTATTGTGAACACAACTTTGAGGGGTCTTGCTGGTGATGTTTTATTACTTTCTAGTGTTTTGCACAGCAATCATGTGGGCATCTGAAACTTTCATTTGATGGCTGAAGGCATATAACTGCTGTTTCTCTTTGTCCAAACAGATCTGTGATGCTCTCCAGACCATGGGACTGATGTGTCTTTATGCTTAGTCAGCCATAACCACAATTAATGGGCATACCAGATTTGAACTTGAGCAATGTGGTGTCAGCTCTGAGCATTTGCTCTGAGCTCTGTCATGATTTTTTTGTATGCAAATATCTCCAGATGCATTGCAGGCAATTACACACCCACAGGGACTACCATGTGTGATACATAATGGCCTGTGTCATCCATTTATGGCCTGCCCTAGAGATGGGTTAAGTTGACTAAACACAGTAATCTGTATGCACTAGGCAACACCTTTATTTCCAATCTTGTCTGGTGTACAAGATCTCATGTTTAGTCTGGCTCCTGGCAGTCAGCACCTTGTCATCACTGTGCTCCTGCAGCTCAACATGTCTGGTGGCAACATCATCCTGGTGACGGGTGGCACCGGCCTGGTGGGCAAAGCCATCCAGACACTGGTAGAGAAGGAGCTGAAGAGACCGGGCGAGACATGGGTGTTCCTCAGCTCCAAGGATGGCGACCTGACGTGAGCGCACACCCTTCCCTGAAATGTGTTTGGCTGACAACATTAGCTGTGTGAATGTTCATGATTATTGTGCAGCACTTTCAGAATCAGGATGTGGCAGATGGCATCCTTTCAAAAGCAAGCAGCCCCAGGATGGGTAATGAACCCAGCATACACACCCATGAAAGGCAGCACATGTCAAACTCCATCAGGCCTCATGGCAGTCATTCAATGCTCAATATATTCAGGCATCATATAAATGCTGTGACCTATGGCTCTCAAGCCAACTATATGGCATGCAGACAGTTTGAACCATTAAGATGCATTGATTTCCTGGTCAGCTTACTGAGTGCACTTTTTATTCAATGTTATCATTCTGCCATGAATTGGTCATTTCCTGTTTTGGTCACCCATCCCCTACCCCTGTCCCCCTGCTCCTTTGATTGTTCCATAGTGCAGCCTGTGCCCCCATCTCTGCCACTGTCCTCGTGCATCCCCTTACACCGCTCACTTGCCACCTCCTCTACCGCCCCCTGCTACCGTCCCTTCGCCCCCACCCATGCTTCTCTCCCCTGTGCTGCTACCTCGTCACCTCCCACCATGCCGGTCCGCGGCCACCAGCTGACCCCCTTCCCGCCGCTCCCCCGCTGCCTCCCCAGGGACCCGGCGGCGACGCGCGCCATCTTCGAGCGCCACCGACCCACTCACGTCATCCACCTGGCGGCCATGGTCGGCGGCCTCTTCCGCAACCTGCGCTACAACTGCGACTTCCTGGTGAGCGGCGCCCCGCTGCCGCCGCCTCGGCCGGGACCGGGTCGGCCCGTCTCGGCACGGACGTTACGGCTGTCGTGCCGGCAGAACTGGCGGGACTGCGTCGATGGGGCATGCGGGTGATGGACTGTGTCGCTGGGGAGGACTGGTGGGACTGTTTCGCAGGGGAATGCTAGTGGTGGGACTGCGTCGCTGGGAGAGGACTGGCGGGACTGTGTCGCTGGGGAATGCTGGTGATGGGACGGTGTCGCTGGGGAGGACTAGCGGGACTGTGTCGTCGGGGAAGAACCGGTGAGACTGTGTCGCTGGGGCAAGAATGTGATGAGACTGTGTCGCCGGGGCGGGACTGTGGCGGGACTTGTCGCTAGGGAGGGCTTTAGCAGGACTGTGTCGCTGGGGCGGGATTGTCCCAACGGAGTCGCTGGGCAGGATTGGCTCGGAACTGTGCCGCTGGGGGAGGACTGTTCCGGAACTGTGTCGCCGGGACAGGACTGTGACGGGGCCGTGTCGCTGGGGCAGAAATGTGACGGACTGTGCCGCTGGGGAAGGACTGTTTCACTGTTTCGGGACTGTCGCCGGGGCAGGACTGTGACGGGCAAGACTGTGACGTGCTGTGTCGCTGGGGCGGAACTGTGTTGGGACTGTGCCGCTGAGGCCTTTGCAATAAGTAGGACTGAAAGCAGCTTCTGTGGAAAGCAAAAGGAAGAGTTGCTGAAAATGGTTTCATGCTTTAAAAACCACATACAGCATTACGTTCCGTCTCATCTGTTCTCTCACCGATTTCAATGAGCGCCTCGAGCTTGAACTGGAGCGTCTGTCGGCCGCTCCTGGCGTTGCAGTCTCTGTGACATTGCACGGCGTATGCAGGGCGACGGCAGGGCGTTAACATTAGACACGTCGCGCCGGAGACTAGTCAGCTGGCTGGCGGCGGATGGTGCTTGTTCCCAATGAAGCCTACGCTAATTGGCTAATGTCCACGTAATTGGATGTCATAGAAAGGGGACCCTGGTTTTCTTGCTGCATGTTTGGAAAGAAGGAAATCCATAGCATTCAGATAGTACACTTGCGTGAATGCTCCAGCGAGCAAGAAAGAAGCTAGCAGTACGGTGCAAGGAATATTAATAAGCGATTATTGCCAAGAAAATGCATTTATCATCTCGACAGCACCGGATACTCGCTTTGTTATATTGAAACACCGAATGTGTTTGCCAGAAACGGAAAACGGTTTGAAAGATCAGTAATGACTACCAGTCACAGGTAAGACATCAGATATCCACGTCAGTCCCGTCTACCCGCAGTCTGCACTCAGTGCAGACAAAGAGCAGAGTGAGACAGCTGTGACGGTCGCTCGACGGGCTCAACGGCGATATCTGCATCGGGGTTTACTATCTCGCAACTCTCCCCTCCTGTCGCGTGATGGTCAGAGCGTGTCGCTTCTCGTGATCAGACACCGGCCGTGACATCCCAGTCTCGGCCACGTCACGTCCCTCGACACTCTGCCGGTGACTCGGGGAGCTGGCCGGGTCTAGCGGCCGGTGCCGCGCGCAGTTTCCTCCCGCATCGGTCACGTCACGTGTCATGGTCAGTTCGGCGCTTGGGCCTTCCCAGCTGATCGTGTCGGCGCTGGTGTCGCCCTCTCAGCTCAACTGGCAGACCCTGCACTGCCGCAGCGAGTGGCGATGGCGCCTCCTGGTGACCAGAATCGCATCGACCGCCCTACCTCGGACCTCCCCGATCTGTGCGTTAGCGTCGCTAGTAGTTCGTTTTCCGAGGAGGGGTGGGGGTTTAGAGATTGTGCGAAGCAGGAGTTTCGCTTGATTCGCCCTCCTGCCTTCTTCTGGACTTCGTCTCACGTCGTTTTGAACAGGTGCATGGTCGGACGCAGATGTGCGGCACCAGATGTCAAACCAGGTCGAGATTCGATTTAGACCCACATTGGCCCGATGTACGCTGTGCGAACGTGACCTCACTAACCGGGGGAGGGGGGGGGGGGGGGGGGTTGAGCGAGATCCTGGGCGTGTACGTATGTACGCACGATCGGGTACTAAGATTTTATGCGTTTTTGAAGAAATGACACTGCATTTGACATTGATTTCCATAGCTTAGTCATAGCAGAACATGTGTTGCGTGTCGCGCCCCAGCATTTAGATAAAACACCGAACGAGACATCAGTTACGAGCATTCGCACCAAAGGGTCAAAGCCAAAACCGTGGCACGTTTGCGCGCAATCACGCAAGCTGCACAAGCAAGATAGCTGCCGACAAGTATCCCGCTCTACCGAATTGTTACCTAACCAGCTGACCAGTCAGTGAGCTCACGCGTCCCTCCAGGGCACCGCAGTACGGTCCACTGCCGGGGTCTGGCACTCCCGACAGCGGACGGGTTCGGCGCTGAGTAAGAGAGACCACACACGACGTAGCATGGCGATGGGCAGGACGTGCAGGCTGGAGACCGGTGTGCGTCGCGATCATGCCGCAGTTGCACACCCGAAGCCACGAATCTTACGATTGCAGGGCTTTCCTGTACACCACATTCTTGGTCTTGGCTTTTAAGGTGCTGCGTTGTGTCATTTAGGTGCCACAGGCGGTACCCGCTTGGCCCGCTGTGCGAAGGGGCGCTGCCGTTGACGGTGGTTACGTATTCTCTCGGAGTGAAGCACTAACCTGCACGCCACGCCTTCGAAGTCCGTACAAGGCGTCACATTTGCCTTTCAGTCCCGTCACCCAGTCGCCTCTTAAGGCCTTGCCAATCGTCGCGCCAAGTAACGCTCTTGCATTACATAGTAGTAATATACGAATGGAATCGATCGACACTACGGCCCGCTACGGGGATCGGGTAGTGTACGTGGTGTGTGCATATAAGCTGATGTCCGGCATGTTTACACGGGCTTCTTTACCGTGTGAGGCCTTGCTATTCGAAGGATCGTCGGAATGTACAATGTAAATGTCTGAGCTGTTTTGGGCACCTAGCGCAGATAGTGAGTGTCCCGAAGACGGTGGCATTCATTCCAGTTCGAGCTGTCGCGGCATGTTTTTCAACCCTCGAAGATGGCTCTGCCCGTCCCCCATCCACGTTAGGTTTTGTCGTCACGAAACCTGCGAACACGGTCCCCTTTCCGCACGCGCCACGGCCGTTCCGGACGTCGGAGCGGCGTGAGATTGTGCCGTGGAGCGTCACGAGGGTTGTACCCGGGGTGCATATACTTGGCACTGTCTTCGGCACAGCCGTCTGCGCTGTGTATCTCGGCGATACATCCGGACGCTCACACGCACGCACGCACGCACGCACGCATGCACGCACGCATGCACGCACGCATGCACGCACGCATGCACACACGCACGCACGCACGTAGGTACGTACGCTACTAATTTAGTTGTTTGGATGCCGCTGCGTCTATCTTTTGAGCATTCGTTCTGTCAGTCTGGTTTTCTTATGCTGCAATCTTACACTGTCGAAATCAGACGGCAGTCGGCTGCAGGCGCCAGCTGCTCAGATGGCGGTCGGCTGCAGGCGTCAGCTGCTCTGATAGCAGTCGGCTGCAAGCGTCAGCTGCTCAGATGGCAGTCGGCTGCAAGCGTCAGCTGCTCAGACGGCAGTCGGCTGTGGGCGTCAGCTGCTCAGATGGCAGTCGGCTGCGGGCGTCAGCTGCTCAGACGGCAGTCGGCTGCTGGCGTCAGCTGCTCAGACGGCAGTCGGCTGCGGGCGTCAGCTGCTCGGATGGCAGTCGGCTGCGGGCGTCAGCTGCTCAGACGGCAGTCGGCTGCGGGCGTCAGCTGCTCGGACGGCAGTCGCCTGCAGGCGTCAGCTGCTCAGACGGCAGTCGGCTGCGGGCGTCAGCTGCTCGGACGGCAGTCGGCTGCGGGCGTCAGCTGCTCTGATGGCAGTCGGCTGCGGGCGTCAGCTGCTCTGCGGCTCATCCTCCGGATGTCTCCGGTCGTTCTGGCTCTAGGCCCTTGTAATGGGTCACGGGCTTTTGTGTACTGTGTACGCGCTAGTAGCGATGGTGACCCACGACAACGGAAAAGTCCGAGGTAGGGCGGTCGATGCGGTTCTGATCACCAGGAGGCGCCATCGTCACTCGCTGCGGCAGTGCAGGGTCTGCCAGTTGTCGAGCTGAGAGGGCGACACCAGCGCCGACGCGAGCAGCTGGGAAGGCCCAAGCGCCGAACTGACAATGACACGTGACGTGACCGATGCGGAAAAGAAGTGCGCGCGCAGAACCGGTCGCTAAACCTGGCCAGCTCCCCGAGTCACTGGCAGGGTGTCGAGGGGCGTGACGCGGCCGTGACTGGGGTGTCGCGGCCGGTGTCTGACCACGCTCACTTTGGGCCCGGCCCACAGAAGAGTCGTCGCACAGGGACCCACTAACGAAGATGTTGCGCTCGAACGGGTGTATGCACGTGTTGGCTCGCGGACAACACGGTCCTATTTCCGCCGGTCTTCACTGGGGCAGCACCGAACCTGTTGAGTTGATTTCTCGAGACTTACTTGATTTTAGCATCTAAATCAGGTGCAAACGTACTGATGTCTTCTCAGGAGCAATTCAGGGAATGAATCACTGTACGCTGTTTAGAGATTGGTGCGGAACGGATGTGTGTGTGTGTGCAACTCAACGACAACAACAATTGTTTGTTAGATCGTGTCAGACCAATATTCTGCTGCTGTGAGCCCGTATCTGGTGTTCTTACGACGTAACAGGGACGCTAAGAAAGACGGTATGAGGTTTTGATCAGTTTGTCTTCCTGCCTTAGCAGACCCGAAAAAGAGACACCAATTCAGCGCTGGCCAAAAGACTAATCATGGCAATTTGGGCGGTTGACCTTTTTACCTTTGGAGAGTGGATAAGCACAGCCAATTTGGAGTCTAATAGAATGGTTTTCTTCTATTTTTATGAATATTGTTGATTGCTATACCACAACAACAATGACTAGATGCGAAAGGATGTCGGCTTTCCAGCAATACGGAAATTTGGTCACTGATAAATTTCGAAGCATGTTTGATTTGCCGAAACCTAAAAACGCTTCTGAACATTTCACCTGGTGGTGCTTAATCCTTTCTCTCTCAGGACAGCAGAATGACCGAAATATTTTTTTTACCACCGATACACCTATAGCTTCCGAATGTAGCGGCGACAAGCACGCTAGCATTGCATGCAGTGCCTTTGCACCATTTATACCATGGCTTCGGAGGTTAGCCATTCGTGAGCACAATTGGTTCAGAAATTTGGTATTTTAGGATCGTTAGCGAAAGAAAGCTGTGGAAAGTAAGAAATGCGATTATCAGCTATGTCCATATCGGCATTGTTTCATTCTGTGAGCCCACTATCGAGAAACCTGTTAATGAAACGCCCTCGTCGAAATCGCTCACACCCATAAACATCACCACGAAACGCGCCTTCGACACTCACTGAGCTGCGCCGTGTGAATTGCAGCGCAAGAACATCCTGATCAACGACAACGTGCTTGAGTCGGCGCACCAGCACGACGTGCAGAAGGTGGTGTCGTGCCTCTCCACCTGCATCTTCCCCGACAAGACCAGCTACCCGATCGACGAGACGATGGTGAGCGCTCCGTTTTCGGCCACGTGCCGATGGTCACCAACAGCCAGGCGGGCTGACCGGGGACGTCGTTTATCTGTGGCTCATGCTTCGCACGAAGGCGTTGCTGCTGAAGGGACTGCTGCTCCCCTATGAGGTTGGACTGGACGCGCCTGATGATGATGTGACCGGTGGCTGCAGGTCTCCAGTTCACCGCAGCGTCGGTTAAATGCTGGGATGGTTGCGATGATTATTTTCGTTGAGGCTTGTAGTATCGTATGAAGAACATTATCTGCCCATACTCGCTTATATTTTGTTAGTAAGCACGTTTACTCTGTTTGAGATCGGACTCGCATGCGTTCACTAAACGTCTAGCGATTTTCTGCAATGGCTGACTCCTGATGGTACTCGAAGGGATGTGAGTGAACGCGACATGTTACCTATATTGTCATTGACATTATCCCTGTCGGAATGATTCCCATGTGTTGCGTCTTGTTTGCTGGCGTCTTAGCTGAGGCCGCTCCCAAATCACACGCAGTGGCATGTGCAAACGTGACACAGCTACCCGGGTGTATCGAGCGTGACGGTCTGAGCGGCGGCCGGGAGCCAGTCGGTCGCGCCTGCTCAGCGCCGCCGGCCGTCCCCGCCAGGTGCACAACGGGCCGCCGCACCCGTCCAACTTCGGCTACAGCCACGCCAAGCGGCTGGTGGACGTGCAGAACCGGGCGTACGCGCAGCAGCACGGCCGCCGCTTCACGTCCGTCATCCCGACCAACGTGTTTGGGCCGCACGACAACTTCAACATGCAGGACGGCCACGTGCTGCCCGGCCTCATGCATAAGGTTGGGGCCACGACGCGGCGCGGACAGACTCGGGTGCTGCCGGACTGTGAAGACACTGTCGGACTGTGAAGAGCGGTGGATGGAACCGTCCTGCGGATGGGTCGCGTTGATCCGGGATATGCGCTGACGCCCTGGAGCTGCGTCTCTGAGGCGCCTGACTCAGGGCTGCTCAGGCGCGCCGCCGGGACGAAGGGGGCGGCGCCCAGGCGGCCGACCGGCCGCTTCGGTGGCGATGCCCCGCGCCTAGTCTCTGCTGGTGACGCGACTAACGTGGGCTGATGACGCACACGGACGTCAACATCGGGAACGTGGGATTTTGGCAGCTCTCCGCGGGCCTGAGGCCAGGGGCAGCAATCGTCGTCATGCTGGTTGTCGCGCTGCTGCTGTTAAGGACAAGCTAGAGCCCACTTCATTTGCAGACCGAACTGTCCTGCAGCCAACAGGCGATACGCACGCCCGGTCTCGTGCCAACCTCGTCCGCGCCGCCCGGCTGACCGCTGACCGCCGCCGCCGCGCAGGCGTACCTGGCCAAGCAGTCGGGCGAGCCGTTCGTGATCTGGGGCACCGGCCGGCCGCTGCGTCAGTTCATCTACTCGCTCGACCTGGCCCGCCTGATGGTGTGGGCGCTGCGCGAGTACACTGAGGTCGACCCCATCATCCTCTCCGGTGAGTGGCGGCGCGACGGCCGGTTCGTGCTGGCCAGACGCGGACTGGCGGCGGCGTGACGTGCCGAGAGAAGTGCGGGGAGTGGGTGGCCGGTGGTCGAGTCGGGGCGGCGGCGGTCCGTGCAGCGTGGCCACTGCCCCGCTTTTTGACTGTGGAGGCGCTGTGCGGCGGGTCTGCCGGACGGCCGCCGCGGGACACCGGACGGCGCGCTGGCTCGTGGGAGCGGTCCCGTCATGGACGAAGCGTCCGGCTCGGTCTCGTCGCTGGACGAGTCGCTGGGTTGTCCTCGTCCGGGTCCCGCAGTGGACGAGTCCGGACTGGTTCACGCGTTGCTGCAGTTTGTGCCGCTTCCTCGTGGTGTTCGGGGCTCTGGAATCGTTGTTCCGGTCCTGTTGTGGACGAGGCCCTGCCCCGTTCTCGTCCCGTCCCATCGTTGGACTCGTTCTCCGGACTCGTGCGGGGGCGCAGCCCTGACCCGTTCTCCCGCTGGTGCAGTGGACGAGTCGGACGAGGTTTCGATACGGGACGCGGCTCAGATGGTGCTGGACGCCATCGGCTTCCAAGGCCAGGTGGTGCAGGACGACAGCCACGCGGACGGCCAGTACAAGAAGACGGCCAGCAACGCCAAACTGCGCCGGTAGGGACGGTGGGAAAGGGCTGGATCGCCTCCTAGCCGAGGGTCCAGACTAGGGCTGGAGAGAGACCTGCGTCGAACCTGGGGAGAGTAGTAGTAGAACCTGGGGAGAGTAGTAGTAGTAGTAGTAGAACCTGGGGACCCGCGCCGGAACAGGGGCTAGAGCAGGCACTGGAGCGGCCGGGACGGCTCTGGGTCCCCGGCCGGCCGGGTGCACCGGTGTCACACCTGGCCGCCATGGCATCTTGTCGTCCTGCGTCCCCTTGACCGGCCCTGCGTCGTACGCCCCGCCAGCAGCGGACGGACGCGTGCGTGCGCACGGGTCTGCCGTGGCGAGCTGCCGCGGGGCAGAAGTCGCCCGCCTCCTCCTGAGCCCGGGCCCCGCTGGTTCGCAGGTACCTGCCCGACTTCCAGTTCACGCCTCTGCGCCAGGCCGTACAGGAGACGGTCGACTGGTTCGTCGCCAACTACGACACGGCACGCAAGTAGCCGGGTCGGTTCTCCCGCGCTCCGCGGGTGGAACTGTTGGACGGGCGGCGGGCGGGGCGTCGCTCGGAGTTCGCTGGGGTTCCGCGCCGGCCAAACTTACGTCCGTCCCGGCTGGCTGTGGGGTGCTGCGATGGAACTGTGTTGTTTTGAGTCACTTGCGGTCGGTGTTGTCGGGAGGGCGCGGCGAACCTTGCATGAGACGCGTTGGAAAACTGGTCAGCTGGCCAGGCCAAGTTGTATGTAGGATTTGGCCGTTTGTCAACAGTTCGTACTGCGTGTTGTATTTCGGGATCATCGGGGTGACTGCAGAAGACAGACGCTGGGAGGCTAGACTCAGATCGTTTCAGGGACGAAATTTGTGCAGACTGCACGGAACCGAACCGTAGACGTGCTTTTGCGTGCAGGGTCGCGTTTGTAGCAGTGGCATCTTGGTTAAGAGGGAAAATGTTTCACTGTAAGTTGCGCTTTCGTGTAGTTTTGTTGGAAGTGTCCAGAAAATTGTCCGATGTGGTCAGAACGCGTCTGTTTGTCTGTTGGCCCAGTATGTCTTCTTTTTTAGAGGCAATGATTCGAGGCATAGCATGCTCGGGGTAGTTTTTTTTTACCTACGGATCATTGTCATGGTTGGGAAGTCTAGTATTTAGCAGTCCTAAGGCAACGTACAGACGTATGGCTAACGTGACGATGATAAGGCAAGCAAAGACAATCGGCCTGTTAGTAGACAAGTCGAAAAGAGCGCGAAGTTGTACGTCTGTGCGCTCCGCCGGCTGACCACACAGAGCGGTGACCACGCGCGGCCCGGCCCCGACCATAGGTCAGGGACCAGGTCACGTGACCCAGGTGCCGCGCGGCCCGACAGGCGCGCCCCCGCGTGTCAGCCCGTCAATGTAGCCAGAACTGCAGTGTCACAAGAGGCATGAGAGAGCACCTTTCATTTATACCTATTCTGTCGCCTATCGCGCCTACCCTACCTATATGCACCTATCATTGTTATGCTGTGGGGGGATGCGAAGGTGGAGGTGAAAAGTTTTGTTGAAAACCCCCAGTATTGCGCGTGGAGAATAGAGTCGAGGTAGATGCTCTTGACGTGCACTGCGTGGGAGCTCATGGCGTGTTTGTCTACCGTGGCGTGATGCGCGCAGGTGGAGGTCAATACATTTCTAAACAACCCCGGTGCTGCGCGCGGAGAGAGGCGGGCTGGATCCGCCCCGATGGACTCGGGCGCGCAGCTCTTCTGCTCGGAGAAGACGCGGTGCTGCGGCACCACCGCCGCTCAGCTGTCTGGCAGGCGACCCCTCCGCACAATCCGAGCCACGACCGCACAGGCGTGTTTACAGATTATTTATTCAAAATACATTCGCTCTACAACAACGCTCTGAATACCGCCCACTGCCTCCAGCGTTCTCCACTGCACCGCTGTATTTGAGCTGACGAGGAGACGGCCCGGAGTCGGCGGCGACCCGTGGCTTCCTCCTCTGGCAGATCTGTCATCTTGATCTTTGCCTTCAGTGATAGGTTTTGGAAGTCACAACCATTCTTCGGGTCTTGTGAGAGATACCTGCATCAGTCATAATGTGACACTGGAACGTCGCCATTGTTTTGAATTACCTCGGCGAGTGAGCATGAACCGGGCTGGATCGATCACTTTCGTAACGTTCAATGGCAGTCCTGGACAACGCATTAGCTTTAGGTGCAAATCCCACTGAACAATGATTGGTTTAGCAGGGGTTTCATTGATCACACACACACACACACACACGTAGCCCAATGTTTAACGCAATGGGAAGTATGCGTGCGACGGGAAGGATGTAGGTAGCGGTCTCAAAGATCTCACAAAGCGCAATTTTTTCACCACCGCTGGCTTTGAACGGAGGCAGCTGATAGAGATATCAAATTACGCATATTTAACTGTGTAGCGAAATATTCCTTCCCTTGCCCGCCAACGATGGACGCGATCAGGACTGACCAGGCGGGGCGACCCGTGACTGACTTTCGATAACCCCGCCCGAAGCTGACTGACAGGCCTATGGTCTACGGCACGACGCCCACCCATTTCCAAAAGCCATCGGGGAAAGTCACGAACCAGATCAGCGATGTCAGCCCGGCGCCACGGCGCCTGCACCAGTCGGTTGGTGACCCGCCCGCACCTGCCCAGCGGCCCCTGCGGCGGCCCTCCGCGCCAAGGCCGCCACTCGACCCGTGCCGCCACCGCCGCCTGCGCAGCCTCCGCACCCGTTCCTCTTCCGACTCCACTCGTCCGAGGTGATCACATTCGGTCGGCGGGGCCGGCGCGTCGACGCGCCGCCCCGCGCGGCGCGCAGGGAACACATAGAAAAGTGCCGGCGTCGCGGCGGCGAGCCGGGCCGGCGCCAGTCCGGCGACGCGTATGAAATGGCAGCGACGCGGCGGCCGGCCGGCGGGGTGATTGAAGCGATGACGTGAGCACAGTGCACTGAGGCCGCGCCCGGCGCCGGCGCCCCGTGGACCCGCAGAGAGCCGAGGCGATCTGTGACGTCATCGACGCCGGGACCGGCCGCCACGGAGAGGTAAGCAACGTGGACCAGGCCATCAAAAGAGCAGATGAAATGGGATGGCGGACACGAACTGGCTACATCTGCTAAACTTTGTGAGCTATCGGATCAGGGTACGGCGATGTGGTGGAGACAATAGTCTGATAGCAATGCTGCAGCGAGACGAGAGCCTCCGGCAGAAGCTCTGCTGGGGAGAGCGGGACCTCGTGGCAGTGCGAAGGCCGTCGGCGGGACCTGATGTGTCGCGGCGGTGGGTGGGACGAATTTTGTCCAGCTGAAATGGCCGACTGGCGGCCGGCACCGACTGACGGGGCTCGGTGGAATCCGCGGACGATGTCTGACGTCACGAGGCGGACATCGCTCAGGCAGATGAGGTCAGGTCTGTACACCCCTCTAGAGAGAGCCATTCAAATGTGATAGGTACTTGGGAGCGCGCCGTTATAAACATCAACGGCCATAAAAAACAGATGCTGTTAGGCAAAACACCACATGGCACAAATCCAGCAAAAGGCTTAAAGATAACCAGCAGGGAAAGCTTACAACAGCGTAACATCCAAGATCGTCGCAGGCCGCGAAACTTTCGGCTCGCACGCGCGCGCTGCTCCCCGTACCGACATCGCACACCTCAGACTTGAAAAGCATGAGATCTGGGCGGCTGCCCCGCTGCGGGACGCCCCGCGCTGCGGCGCCAGCTGCCGCCAACTGCCAGCAGAGCCGGGCATTTGTACCATGGCGCCGCTCCCTGGCCCGCCGTCGTGCTCTAGCTAGTGCCCCTCCTGGCCCAATCTGCTTTGAGCAAGGTTGATAAATATACTTTAATATCACTGCGCACCGCTGGCGGTCGGCGGCTGGCAGGGGCCGCCGGCGCCGCGAGCTCCGCCCGGCGCTCAGCCTCGGTCCGGCGCCTCGCCCGTCTCCATCGGAGCCGGACTCTGCACCGAGAGTGAGCGGAGCGCCGCGCTCGGCGACGGTGGCGCCTCCTGCGCGCCGCCCAGCGCGGCCGGCAGCTGGCGGAGGTAGGTGGGCGGCTGCTCCTCCGAGTTGGCGCGGCGCGGCGGCGCGCGCGGCGAGCGCGGCGGCCCCGCCTCGTCCACGCTGCCGCCGCCGCCGCCCTCGCCCAGCTCGTAGCGCGCGTGCGTGCGCATGTGGCGCGTGATCATGTCGCGCCGGCACGCCGCGTACGGACACTGCGGGCACTTGTACGGCTTCTCGCCGGTGTGCGTCCGCTGGTGCGTCGACAGGTGATCGGAGCGCGAGAACACCTGGCCACACACGCGGCACGTGTACGGCTTGAGGCCCGTGTGCAGCCGCATGTGGCGCGTCAGCATATCGCTGCGCGCGAACGAGCGCTTGCACGTGTCGCACACGTACGTCTTGGAGGCGGCGTCGACGGGCTTGCTCTTGTGGCGCGACGCCATGTGCTTGGCCAGCCGGTCGTGCAGCGAGAACATCTGTCCGCACACGGGGCACACGTAGGCCACGTCCGTGCCCGGCGGCATCTCCTCCACCACGGGGCACACCTCTAGGTTGTAGCGCAGCGCCACCGAGTCTCGCGTGGTCGGCGAGGCGACGTTGCCGTGCACGATGGGGATGGGCGGGTGGAGGCCGGGCGAGCGGAGGCGCAGCAGCGGGTGCGCGCCGAGCCGCGGCGCCGCCGCCTCCGAGCCGGGCGTGCCGGCGCTGCTGGCGGCCGAGCCGAGCCGCGCAGAGCGCAGCGACAGGTCGAGCGGCGAGTCCTGCGGCGACGACTGGTCCGACTCGAGCGAGCCCGACTTGCCCGGAATGTGCAGCGGCCGCGGCGCGCGTCGGCCCTGCCGCAGCACGGAGCCGCGCGCCGGCGCCGGCGGCTCGAACCACGCGCTCAGGTCCGAGTCGGAGCGGCTGCGGCGCCGGTACAGCTCGCTCAGCTGCGACAGGTACTCGAGCGGCAGCGGCGACTGCGAGAGCGGCGTGGCCGGGCTGACCGGCGTCAGCGGCGACTGCGGCGAGCCCGACAGGCCGGCGCCCAGTAGCCGGTTGTGCACTTCCAGCCGGTGCTCGCTGTCCATGCCGGCCGTGCACTGCGCGCACGCGCAGAAGGTGAACTTGTGCGGCTGGCCGCCGCCCGTCTCGCGCTCGCACGGCGGCACCTGCAGCCGCGGCGGCGAGCAGATGACGCGTGCGCGCTCCTCCAGCCGCACGTCGGCCTCATAGTCGACCTCCTCCTTGATGCGCAGCGCACCGAATCCGACGCGCGGCGAGTCCTGGCAGACGAGCGGGCTGTCGAGCGACGAATGCGGCGACTTGGACGACACCGGCGAGAACACGTCCTCCTCCTCCTCCGAGATGGCGCGGCACGCGAACCGCTCGCCGTCGGCGCTGTCGAAGCGGAACACGTCTGCGCCGAGCGCGCGCGGGCTCCGGAGCAGCGCGTCAGTGCGCGCCGGCGCCGCCAGGGGCGCGGCGGTCGCGCCGGGCTCTGGCGCCTCTTCGGCCGGCCGCTCCGGCTCGGCCTCGCCGCGGGAGAACATGGCAGCGGCGGGCGGGCGGCGGCCGACTAGTGCGGGCGGCGCGGAGAGGCAGCCATCGTCGACGTCCGCGGGGCCGCCGAGCGTCAGCTTCTGAAGCACCGTGTCGAGACGGCGCCGCTTGCTCAGGCTGGGCTCGCTCTGGGTGCTGGGCGGCAGGGCCAGCTGGGCCATGGTCAGGCGACCGGGCCGGGCGCCGCGCTGGGCGGCTGCGCCGAGGTCATCCCGGCCGCCCGCTCACCGGCTCCTCGGGTCACCGCCTGTCGGCAGACGGGCACGCGTCATGGGACGACACCGACAGCCGGTGTGCCGTATCACCATCGATACCGACCGTTGACAGCCGGTGTGCCGCATCACCATCGATACCGAACGCCGACAGCCGGTGTGCCGCATCACCATCTATGCCGAACGCCGACAGCCGGTGTGCCGCATCACCATCGATACCGAACGCCGACAGCCGGTGTGTCGCATCACCATCGATACCGAACGCCGACAGTCGGCGTGCCGCATCACCATCGATACCGAACGCCGACAGCCGGTGTGCCGCATCACCATCGATACCGAACGCCGACAGCCGGCGTGCCGTCTCACCATCGATACCGAACGCCGACAGCAGGTGTGCCGCATCACCATCGATACCGAACGCCGACAGCAGGTGTGCCGCATCACCATCGATACCGAACGCCGACAGCAGGTGTGCCGCATCACCATCGATACCGAACGCCGACGGGCAAACGACGGTCAGCGGGCACCAGAGGAATAATGCTGCCGTAAAAGGAAACGAAACATTGCTCTAGGCGTTGGTGCTTAACGACTGCCATCATCATACATCGGTGGTTATTTCGTTATGGAGCGGTCATTCGCACTTAGCTGTAAGTCGTTTATTTAGTCTTTATTACGAATGCTAGTATTAAATCTCGGTTTCAGACCACAATTTAGCTTTACTTCTTGTCGAGGAGCGAAATGGTTTGACACATAGAGCTCCTACTGGCTTAGGGAAGCTTCGGCATCCCAGGGCATTTTCAGGACCGCCCACCGTTCGTCAGATAGCAAGCTGAGTATATGCGCCTAAGTTGGATAAGATTTTATCCGAATGGCCAAGCAAAACGGGTGTACGCATGGGCATAAAGACATGCAAGACGGGTGTGAAACTCCAAGAACGGGAATGCGCTGTTCGCTGCCATGTGTCTATGACATCGGAAGTCTTGAGATCGAGGTCACATGTGTACATCTTTGCTTGCGGCGCCTGCCCTGACCCTCCTGCAGGGATACAGCTGGACCGTCCCGCCAGGAAACCCGGGACAGGCAGCAACACAGGATCGTCCAGAGTTGCGACGACAGTTGTGGGGAGTCCGGCGGGTCCGGTAGCGACTCGGGGCGGCGCGAAGTGGGGGGACCGAGGTCGTCTGCAGCGCGGGCCCCCTGACCCTCATTGCTATCCGAGCGTCCATCGAAGTCGTGTCGAGCCGCTCCCGGCGAACCCCATTTCCGTGTCGGCGGCACCGGCCGCTGGGCACGCAGTGTCAGCTCATCCCAGCGGGCCGGCAGGCGGGCAACTCTGACCGTAGAGAGGTAGGCCGCCGGCGCGGCGGGCGCGACCGATGGCCCGTCACTGGGTCTGCCGCTCCGTCCGGCTGAGCTGACCCCCGCGGGACTGCCGGACCACACCACCGGATCGTCGGACCACACCAACGGGCCGTCGGACCACACCAACGGACTGTTGGACCACACCACCGGACCGTTGGACCACACCACCGGACCGCCGGACCACACCACCGGATCGTCGGACCACACCATCGGACCATCGGACCACACCACCGGACCGTCGGACCACACCAACGGACTGTTGCACCACACCACCGGACCGTCGGACCACACCAACGGACTGTTGGACCACACCACCGGACCTTCGGAGCGCACCACCGGACCGTTGGACCACACCACCGGGCCGTCGGACCACACCACCGGAGCACATCACCGGTCCACAGTACCAAGCCACAATACCGAACCGCACCACCACTAGATGACACCACCAAGTCATACCACAGTACAAAAACAAGTCTGTAAATAAACAACGAACTGTATGTCGCAACCCATCGCATTCACTTACGTCACAGGCCATTTCCAAGATCATCCTGGGTCAAGGTACCATCGTGGAAAATCCTGAATGCTACGCAAACCGGACTCACAAAACCGCTGCAGCATGAACGAAGCTAGGTAAGATATAAATGACAGCGTGGGAGTCTTGAAGGGCCATGTTACGTCAGGTCAAGTTTTAAAAGTCGCCTTAAAGTGATTGCGAGAGTACTGCGAAACTACTGGCACGACCCTTACCAAATCAGTCAGCGGACCTTGTGTTTGTGTGAGCTGGCTGGCATGACTTAACCCGACTTTTGGCATGCTTACGGCTTTGGAACCCAGATATAGCTAGATGGTGTTTTGTCCGAAAGACTGCTTCCTCTTTTAGAATGGATGCCGTGGCATTAAGGTCTCATTTCAAACCGGTGAAGCGCAGGAACGTTTTCCGCTCAATGTCACGTGCTGCAAATCACTGATGAACTGCTCAATTTTCCAGCCTGAAATAAGTTGGGGTCACTGCTACAAGATGTGATGACACGATAATTTCATTTCAGATATCGTTGCTGCAAAAGAACCGCATGAATCGGGTCACAATGATGCGTAAATACTTTACGCGGACGGTTTTGCAGCAAGTGAAATTTGCACAGCTGACATTGGTCAAATTTAATTTCCGATGTCTATAATTTGGGCCTCATAAAAATGAGATTTCAACGCGTTATGCAAACTGTTCATGGCATTCATATGTACGGTTCACCTACCTATCACATGTCGGCGTTGGGAAGGATATCAAAAGGGCCATGACAACTTTTTGCCTGTTTTACTTGGAAAACTAAGTCAAAGGGCTATGCTATACGGTAAACCCCCCCGTTGCGATAAATGTACCTCGTAGGACAGGTCGTAGTATCATAATATAACGTGACTGTTTCCCAATCGTGAGATGGTTCGTGGCTGTCCGTCCGACCAAGAAATAACCAAGTAAAATCGCACAAAAATGCAAACTTGTAAGACAACCCCAAAAGGTAATTGTCGGAGAAAATATGTGGCTCGCAGGCTCGTGCATACGCCAAGCTTTCCGTGTCCCAGCAGTTCAGATACAGCACAACCAAGTCAGATGCACTGCTCGGGTATCCACGTCATGGGACGGTCTCTGCCGCCACGGAAGCCCCAAAACGGTAGTCAAAAAACAGCATGCCAAAGTTTGAGAATGGCGCGCGAGAATGAAAAAGGCACGTGAGGAAAGCCATTGTATAGCGAGACGAGAGCTATCTTGCATGTGATTTCCCGGAAGCGGAAACGAACACTAGAGGAGAAAACAGCACAGTGAAAAGCACCAAGAACACAAAAAAGTAATGACGCGGAAGTTCACGACCAGCGGAGGGCGTTCCGGCAAAAGTCACGGTGAGGTTTGACATGCCGACAGCGGGAAAGTTTGGTGAAAGCTCCACGGCTACAGGGGCCGAATGGATGGGGAATTTCACGGGCAAAATGCTTACCACGTCCAAAAAGCCCGGCAGCCGGACAGCTAGCGGGGCCTTGACAGACGAACACGTCAGGTACAACGACACGTTCCGACCGAACGACGCCACGAGGGGTCCCCTTGAGAGGAGCTGTCGGGACTTAATATGCGGGCTGTGGCAAGTGAGGACAAACCACCGGCGGCCCTACGGCCCCGGCGCATCGAGAAGTTCTCGGCGATCATTACGGTCTGCATGTGTAAGGGTGCCTGCAAGGCTCAGAGTAAAGTCAACTTAGGGCAACAAATGCAAAGAAGTTCCAAGAATTTCTTCCGGGGCGCGCCAGAGGCAGCTGGATCAGGTGGAGACAAACATCCGCCTTGTGGTCGGTGACGTCACCCGACGTCGATGGTAAGGCGAACGGCACAGGCTGTGCTCACGCTGTTGACAGATTGCTTTATGCCTGTGTGTCGGTCAGGAGGAGCTTCTTGTGATGGGAAAGGAAGGGTCGGCCGTTAAGGGCTTTCCAGTTTTGTACCTACTCTTGGTCGTCGGTCCTCAGCTCAATTCATGCTTAAAACATGTGAAGATGTGCCGCTAAAAATCGCACCACCAGACATTCCAGCATGGAAGCGATCAAATTCCTCCACATATTACGTCTTGACTTAAGTCAACGCCATTCTGAGGGCAAAAGAAAGCTGTTCGGAGACGGCAAAAACATATCAAATCCTTTTTCGACGCCAACTGATAAGTCATTCAAATGTGAATCAAACTCAAAATGCTCAGATCAAAAGCTCTAATTACGTGAGTGGCTCTGTGTTGCCACATGCGGCGTTTGGCGTTTGTTACCAAAGGCCAATCGCCAATTGCCGATGCCAATTTCGGCGTTTGTTGACGACGCGGCGTCGTTGTTTTGTCACAACATGAACGCCGCATCGTCAGGTGGTCGTGCCAACGAACTGCTCACGCGGGGAAAGGCGACGAAACCGGCCAAGTCCCCAAGGATTCAGCTTCCGCAGGGAGCGGGCAGGAGTCCCGGCCTGCTGTTCCGGCGCCCCTGCAGCATCTGGTCCAGCCATAAAGCCGTTGTGTAACGCCCAGCGCGACCTCTCATGTCCAGAAACAGGGCGTGGGCGGGGCATGTCCGCGCAGATGATGGCGATGAAAATATTAATGGGATAGTTATGATGTCGATGTCGATGTCGATGCCGATGCCGATGCCGATGCCGATGCCGATGCCGATGCCGATGCCGATGCCGATACCGATACCGATGGCGATGATGATGATGAAGGATAAGACGCGGAAAACATTATTGTGACTGCTATTATTATTATTCTGGCTATTATTTTTGTTCATTTTTTATTTCTTTCTATTTATTGATTTTTTATTTCTATTATATTTAGACTATTATTTTTCATCATTGTTGTGTTCATCATTGTTTTTATTATTATTGCTACTGTTATTATTATCATTATTCTTATCATTATTACTATTAACTTTACTTTTACTACTTCTTATTATTACTTACGGGTAATGAATATTTCGTCATAGGACGACTATTGCAAGGGAGGGCCATAGTTTCCATACGCATTGTGGTGAAATCAATGCAGAGTATGCTGTGGTTTATCACCTTGCTCAGG